ACTTTGCTGCTTTTTGTTGCCATGCTGTCTTAACTACCTCTGTAAAGTGAAATGTCTGCATGTTGTATGTATGTTGTCTTGAGTGCACTTGTCCCTTACGTCCGCACATTGAGCCTTGGAGAAACGCAATTTCGTTCTGCCTGCATCCGTCTTTGTACTGTTGTATGGTGTGAATGACAATAAAGTTTCACTTCACTTCACTTCCGTCTCTGCATTTGTGAAGTTTCTATGTGCATCACTTGTTCCATGGGCTTTTTATGGCTACTAGTCATCTGCCACATTGACGTCTCTGATTTGAATGCCCTGTAATAGACTGGCATCCCATCCATGGTGTACCCATATCTTGCACCCTCTGAGTAGGGGTTCTCAGAATGCAGCTCATGAGAAGTCAACATGAAATGAATTGCATGTGTAGTGGCACAAGGGTAAAGATTGGGATTTGTTGACTACCCTCTGGAACATGCGTCTGGGGCACCCCATGTTGAGTGGTGGGAAAGCCCCAGCCAAGTCCTGCAGAGCGGAGCGCTGGCATCCAGCGCACCAAGGGGCTGTGGGGCTGTGGTGGTGGGCAGGAAATCCCCTGGCACCCACAGAGTCTGCCCGTAGACTAACTCGGCCGACAAGGATTGTAGGTCTGATTTGAGAGTGGTCCAGAGGCCCAACAAAACCCAGGGAAGCCTGTCCACCCAGTCACCGTCCCTGAGGCTGGCCCAAAGAGTGGCTTTCAGGGAGCGGTGACTCATTTGGCCTGTGGCCGGCCACCAATGAGCTCCCTACCAGGCCTGTCTCTGGGGTGGGGCCCCAGTTTCCCTGTTCCAGGCGAGGTTTCTGGTTCCTTGATTTTACATCCCATAAGGGTTATTTCCATAAGCATTGTCTCTAATGGAATGTTTTTGGCTTGCTTCCACAAGTATAGTTCTAACTTATTTGGGCAATAAGAATTTGCTGAGTAATAGCTATGAGAGTATGGTCTGAAATGAAGCCAGCTCCAAAAAGAAGATATTCACTCATATTTGCCATGGTATCAGCTAATAAGATGAAATGTAACTGGTAATTACCATCCTGATATGTTAATAATACAACTGTGCTGTGGCATTCTAATGCTTGTCAGTACAGTGGTTAGCATCATCCCTGACAGTTGGGAGACCATCGTTTGATTCCCTGATGGGGAGATGCAGGCCGTTTTATGCTTGTAACCAGTAGTTCATCGGAAACTCAGCCTTGCTGCACTAATGCCTAGTCAACGTTTGTTTGTAATGTACTCTTTTATAGGTAATTCTACTGCTGTATGTTAATTATCTGATCTATAAATTGTTCTCCTTAGAGTAATTTTGTCACTTGCATACACACGACAGAGTGCTGAAATGTAATCAGCTGCAACAATATAATCCAATTTATACGCGAAAATGAAACCCACTTTGTTTTCTAACCACCGGAACTTTGATGCGATGAGAACTAATTAGCTACAAAGCTAAACACAGTTGCAAAAGCTCAAT